CCTCCGCGTGGTTCCCCGCGCCGGGCTCGCTCCGCGCCCCGCGCGTTTCTCCGCCTCGTGCTTCCGCCGGACGCCGCGGCGCTGCCGGAGATGGCGCCGGCAGTTTTGAAAGGCTACCTCGGGGCGCGCGTCTTCCTCTCCCTTCCCCCACCCCCACTCGCACCACCGCCCCTCGCCGGGAGAGTACCCGCGACGGAGTTCGTGAATGCGCCGCGGGCGTAAAAATGTGCCCTCCGACGCCCCGGGGCGTGGCGGGCAAAGGGTAGAAGACCGCGGGAGGGCCCTCTCGCCCGCGCTTCGACGTAAATTGAACAACCGAGTCTTCTTTTATGGCGGACTTGCAAGTTACGACGCGCCGGCCTGGACAAGGGCGGCTCCAGAAAATATTTAAGGCGTGAGGGAATTTAAAAACTTTAAGGACCAAATTTTTTAAAATTAAAATTTTGGTAATTACCGAAATGCCGGCAAAAATTAAAGATATGCACAAACAAGAGAAAACGCAACGATTGTAGAACAACTTACTTTTGTAATGAGTATTGGGTTATAAAGTACCATCAAAAACAAAATAGTTTGTGCTTCGTGACAAATGTTTTTATTAAATGATAAAATTTATTGCAGTCATACGGAACTATTTTACAGGTAGTACTCGAGCAGTGGACATGCTAATTTTGGAAAGCCATTTTGAGTGTTTTTGTTTAGCCGTAATTTGCTGCTGAAAGTAACTAGTTTTGTAATACTATTTTCTGTTTCTTTATTGCAAAGAATATGCGTCTCGTCAGCAAAGTAACTGTTTTACCTCTTCGAGTGGATGAAAAGTATATCGTTTATGTATAAAATAAAAAGAATATATTAAATTCTAACCCTCCTAGTACCTACGTGCAATGGCCAATAAATCGGAATGATCAGATGGAATGGTCCTGCTCTCAGGTACGGTATTTGTACTCACTGAGGTGTTCCTTTAAGATACGAACATAACCAATCTAATTCATTATCATGAATTTAATAAGGAGGAAATTTTGATAACAAATGTATTTACAAAGATTTCGATTTTATGTTTATTTTCTTAGGGGGTTGAAATAAAAAACTCTCCAATACAGTATTTAAAAATATTCTTCATGAATATATACTTTATAGAATTTGCCAAAACGATTTGGATGTCAAAAGAAAGAACGAGAAGTTTCATTTTGCAACGTCTGAATACAAGAACTTCAACCGAAGAAATAAAAGTGTATCAAAGTGTTCACGCAATGGTACCTTTCATCAAAGAAGCACATTGCGTATTAATCAAATTGGCATTAGTCAATCACCATTAACACTAGTTCCAAGAACAACGCCTTTTTTTAGTTAAAAATGTTTCTTACAAGTAGTTGACGTGAAAAAAATAAAATCCCCAATTTTTATTCTCCAATATCCAAAACGTATATTATAATTTATCTCAATGAATGCACAATGTAGTGCGCTAGAGAAAATTAGTTAAAGTTACGCGTTCATTGTAATTTTGGATGAGGTGGGGTCTTTGAATTACATCCATGAAGAGAACAAAGCATCACTGCAACGCTCAGTCTTTTTGTCTACACTTCCACTTCGTTTTCCCCGAAAATAGCGACTCCTTTTAGACTCCAGCTGGCGGGGAGAGATTTGTTTGTTACGAAGAGCATGTGGGCTAATGGCAGGTTCCCAGCCTCCATTTACGCAGCACCTTTGACTTCGTTTTCGCGATGTTGAAAAAATAGAAAAAAACTACATGTTTTGTTTCGCCTCGACATGCCGTAGTTTTCAATTAGTGGTATTTAGCACGCTTTTTATTCTTCTTAATTACGATTTATTTTCACGTACTGAACTAAATTACTTTGACGACTTATGAGTGACTACTGTTTTAATGATACGAATTACCTTTATACTGCATATACCTACTAATTATTCCAATTTGTTCTTATGGGACAAGCCGTTTCATTTTCCTATATTTCATGTCTTTAATTCTATTATATCAAAAGAGTAATTACTTGTTTCATCATTTCCATATATGCAATGAGCTGAGATTTTTCATCTTTCTAAACCTATATCTTTAGCTCTTTTTATTAAGTGCCTTAACTACCAGGACTAAAAGAAATGTTGCATATGAATATTTAAAATTTCATCTAACCAAATCGAAAGTTCATCTTATAAGAAAGTCAAATTTGTTATGTAAAATGTCTTATGTTGGTGCAAAATCTTTCACAATGAACATAGTTTTGGAATTTATCTCCACAATAAAGAATTGTGTTCAATATACTTGCTAATGATTCTCTTAACTCTAACGTGAGGCTCAGCTAATCTCATATTGCAATTGAGGGAACATTTTTTCTCAACTTCTTTTCTGTATTTGTTCTTACCGCGATACAATGTATAATGTTTGTTATTGTTCCATACAAATGATTGTATTATAATGTGAAAGAGAAGTTTCAATAAATTGATAAAAACAAATTTAAAAAATGAAAAAGAAAAACCCTGGCCCTGTTAATCTAACTCTTCAGTCACCGTATTCACGGCCTGGCAAGCGATTCACCACCACCATCACCAGCAATCGGTATTCATAGAAAAAGTCACGATGCACGTGAAAAATTCGCATCCCCAGCGACCATCAATGAGTGCCCTCTGAAACTTGGAAATACAAAAACCCGGAGTTTGCGAAATGAGTTCTCTAAACTTCTGCAAATAGCCTCTCACTTTTCATAGAGATTGCTTGGAGCAGCAGCATCTGACTAGGACTGCGAAGATCCAGGATTACAATTTCGAACCCTCAGTAAATAAACGACGTTTGCTTACGTACTTAAAAAAATGGAATATGAAACTCGCGTATGGAGGTATTCTAACAGATATCGTGTCTATACGTACTTTCCGCTGAGAGAGTAAAATGGAATGCAAATACACAATATTTAGGGAATTTTTGATAGGTATTCCTGAAATCCGACGGGAATAGCTGTTCGGATATTATATCATTTTTCCATTCATTAAATTATTGAATTCCACATGATTTTACTTGGCAATTTACGGGATCAGAGTTTGAAAGGGGTTGAGAGGGATAGATGACAAAGGCGTGAAATCACTACTAAGCTGACGAGAGAAAATTATGAACATTACTTATATACACTTTTTTCTGTTGAAAATCCCACTTTTTAAATATCCATCCTATGTAATGTTTTAGTAATATATAATTTAATGGGTGATCGCTGTGTGCTGCCAATGGAGAATGATTGGAAGTGAAATTAACTCTTTTTAAGAAGTTGTTCCTAAAATGAAATTCATGGAGGAGTACGTACATCGGTAAGAGAGTTGTAGATACTCGGGATTTGGGACGCTCGCTGTTTTCAGTGTAACCGAAGAAGTAGTACAGATAGTAAAATACTATTTACTATACATTTCTTATCTCCTATCCTATGCAAACTCTATCGGTAATTTTCGTAAAATCGGCTGAAGGGGTGGCTCTAGGACAAAAGCAAGCATCAAAATAACAGTAACCACGAAATGTATGATATATTTCATTGACATTCTTTTAACATGCAGAATTATACTTTTCATATTTCATCATTATTGAGTAAAAATGTTTTGTTCGTGTTGCATACACAATTATTCAATTTCTCGTGAAATCTAAACAAGAATAAGCATGGAGAACAACTACAATTTAATTTTTCTAAGGCTTGCATAGACCCATAACTTGTGTGGTAAATATGTAGACCTCTGTAAAAATTTATCATATTCTAGTTATATTTCAAATATTCACTTGTGTTTCAAATTATTAGATTTGAAGAACTATTCCGAGCATTATGGATCAGTACTTAAATATCAGTAATTGCATGTATCTGATCAGCTAAGAGCTGTATGAATTCTACCAGGAGACCGATTGTGAGGGTGACAAATAATGCGATGGACTAGCACTGGCCACCTAGCCACTTATGACAATTATCTGAAAAAGGAAAAGGTGATAACCGTTCCCAAATTTGTTGTCCCTACGCACCGACGCTACGTTTAGGGTTCTTTAAGAATTGCTAATATAACATTTACATTACAAGAGACAGGAATAATTTTATTGTATATTGTTTCACGTGTACTATCCGATTCGACTGTGTAAATTATCTGCACACTGTAAATGCACTTAACTAATACAGTAAATTCAGCATGCCAATCTGGTAAATCAGGAATTTGTGGTAGATGCTCTATACCCGCTCTTTGACTATATTAAGTTGAATTGTGAACAAGGCAACCACGTTTATGGAAAAATATAAGAGCATACAAATTTCGTTCCGGTGTAACTATTTTCATCGACAAATAAGCAACAGATTTTGACTCTTATCCTTAATCATACCCATTGTGAAAGAATCGACGCGCTATTTAAAGAACATGGAAAACGATTATAGTATGATAGTGCTGAAGAAATAACTAAATTCTCCACTAACAGCCCACAGAACTGATGACAACGTGCCCATTGTGAGGCTTTTTTTCACTGAATGATTGATGGACTCACAAATATTGCTATTTTAACATTTGTTAATTGCAGATCTTTAATTTTCAGTGGAATAAGCAATTCTGTATTTGAAATACAAAACTGCATTTAAACAGTTTTTTCTTCGATGACTGTCAATTTGTTAATAGAAAACCAATTTGAAGCAGTTGATATCGTGAAAATTGTTTTCTCGCAAAACATATATCCCTCTTAAGAGAAATGAACTGTTCGTTTGTATTTAATTCACGGGATCATTGTCGTTTGCATATAGACGAAAGGGAATATGGCATAATATCGAACCCTTCAAGATCCGTGCTCTATCGATTTTATAAGGTACCAAACAACAAATCCTGGGCGATGTCACAAATTCCATACGAAACATACAAGACAAATTAATGCGTCCCAAGCACAAGATAAATTACGTAAAACAAGTCTCCAGAGCTGGCGAGGTGCGATCTCTGGACACCGTAGAAGGCATAGAAGGTAGACATAAGTATGTCGCAGTATTTCAGAAGATTCGAGCATCATCTAGAGGCTTTGCCCCACTGGGATGCTTTTATTGGGACTTCTTCATACACCACAACCTGAGAGTATGAAATGAGTAGACTTTAACATCCAATGGCGACTCACCTGGAACAAAGAGAGAAATATCTATAAGTTGTCAGTAATAATTCAGTCTTAAATGACAATGTTATTTACAATAATTAATTAAAAGGATAAGTGTTACTAAAGTAAAACTGCGAACAAATTAACAGTTGAAAAGAAATATTAAATTTTAACAATAGTTGGAGATAAAGTTTTTCTCTAAAAATATCACATATGTAAGAATTTTCAGAAAATACAAATCTTCACGTGTAATTTCTTAAAACTTTAAATCTACTAAAAATGAATTCATTATCTGTACATTTTTATATAGCAATTCTACAAAACGTGTGTCCTAAACTGAGTTTACTTGTACTTTGGTCTATTTCCATAGGAAAGCATATCATCGAAAAATTACTTTACCTAATATTCGGTCTGAGGTCGGCTGATTAGAAGCTAAATTGGAGAGATTAAAAATCCTATTTGCAGCTATAGCTGCAATTTAATCAGCAATTTAATGGAACCTAACCACGAAACAAAATATATGAAAGGAGCTCCAATTATTGCCATAGACATTTTATTGCATTCTCCTTAATATATAAAGTCAATAAATATATCTTAAATATTTTTTCCTAATTTGTATTAAAATATCTTTCAGGGATGGGCTCATTTCTTGACAATTTTGTTTTCAAAATAGTTTGAATAAAACAATTAAACAATATTGCATTTCTGCATCAGCATGATGAAAATAAAGTGGAGATTGTAATACTTAGGGAAATGAGAAATGCTTGGTACGCATTAATTTGTCCTGTTTCAATGCAGTTCAATTTACATGAACAATTTAAAATGAAAATAGACTTTTTGGTACAGTCTGGCTATGGGAATGTCGTCCAAAATGGAGATGCTAACATATTGTAACATTGTTATATGTTACTATATTATCTATATAATCCTAAAATATTATCTATATATAACTAAATTATCGATATGAAACAGTTTGAAAAATATTTCCATGTTAAGTAGAACTTAAGGAGTAATGGTTTTTGTGTTTACAAACTACTGACTTCAGTGGAAAAGTACGCTTTCGTGAAAATATGCAATGTCCCCGTTTTCGATAAACGGTTGGCTAAAATGGGGTACTCACATTAAAATGATCAAATATTAAAGACATGTATTACAAAACATTTAGAAAGTCAATTATGAAATGAAGTAAACTATGGCAAGTATGAAACCTAATAATGAACATCTTGTTACTTCGTAATGGTGTTTTTTAATAAAATTATAGTTTGTACAGGAACAAAATAGGGCCGAAATAACGCACAAAAGTCACAAATAAATGTGCCATCCCTTCTTCAGCATTGGAACTCATTTCATGTGCCCAACCACACTACAACCAGATTTCAATTCGCTTGGAATTTGTCTAAATCTCGTTTCGGAAGATAACTTCTCTTCTTCGGAACTAATCTATTCTTCAGCATTCTCTTCTTTGGATCTTATCACGTTTTCTCCCATTCTCCTTTTTTTCTCTTTTTCAGCTATTGGCGTATTGGGTACATTTGAGTTTTTTTAATAGAGATTACTTCTCTTAAATTCTGTGGAGGTATCAGATATGTCGTGGTAATCCATATCATGGGACAGGAAAATTATCCTCCACAACAATCACAGTTATATTTATTGTAACATTTTCAAAGTTAACTTTGGAACAAAGAGAAGGAAGAATTAGAAATTAACATGAAGGTAGAAAAAAGAAATACTGTAGTACAATATTCACTGTAGTACGTTAATTATTTTAATAATGATTAACTTTCATCCGCTCGTGCGCCTTGCTGTCACGTTTTGCATCATTTTCATGAATTTCTATCCACTTGGATCGTTTCAAGGAATTGAAAGAAGAACGAAATTATGACAATATTAACTAAAATATTTATGGCCAATTATTTTTATTGATCGCTAAAATACTTATTTCAAATATATTGAAACGAAGAACGTTTCTGCATTGTAACAATCAAAATTTATTACTAATTTTAATTAAAACAAGTACTGAATTGATCAGAGCAGTAACGCCGCCACCGGCACCGCTGCCCCCAACGGTTAAATCGGGGGGTTGACGGGGAGGCGAGCGACGGTTGGGGCAGTGTGCGCAGAGAGGCCGCGAGTGCAACACGGACGGGGCAGTGCTGCATCAAACAAGTTTATGGTGGTGTTAAGAACAGTTTGGATTGACTGTGGCTGTTAAGTGAGAGACTAGATTTGATGAAAGTTGATAATCAGGTGATTAGGGAAAGTGGAAGTGCGCACCAGGACCGAGATCAAAAACATTAATACAGGAATTCGTGTGGCCGACGGACACGTGTTATATTTTCGCCCGGGTGTAAGGCAGCAGCGGGCCGTACTGTGCAGACATTCGCGCGAGATTGAGAAGAATTACTGAGACCGGAACTGCCGACGGGCCGCAATCGCATCGTGCGTGTTAGTATATGTGAGACATTGCTTATACTGGCTGGGGGTGGACCCCGGCGAGTTCGTTGGCCGTTGCGTTGGGGACCAGCGGAGTCGATCACCGAGGGAGAGCGAATTCTCGACAGACTTCGGGGCGGACCGAAGGTTGCCGAAGACGCCGCCGCCGTTGCCACGGCGGCCCCGCTCGTATCCAACCAGCAGGTGGCTCTTAAAAGCATCAAGGTAGCGTTGATTGTGCACTTATTACCAAAGGCCTTGCGCATTGCGTTTTGTAAATAATATTTGTAAAGAGTGTTTCAATTATTAAAATATTTAAATGCACAAAAGAATTTCTTATGATCATCTTCCAATGCAGCGCCAAACCCCTGGAAGCCCATTCACGAAAATGTACCCGTCCTTAGTATAATTTATTTTGTCGTGAGAGTACCGCTTCCCAGGTACGTCACAATATAAAAGATAACTTCCTAACAAATCCAGTACTTCTCGTCTAATATACCTAATAATTACTATTGCAGTAATACATTTTAGTCTTTGAAGTTAATTTTTTCTTATATTCTTCGTCCCAAATTGAAAACGATGGGATATTTATGAGAAATGGATAACAGCAAAAATACAGAATTTAGTGTATACGTCTTTTTTTTTACAATTTTCAAGAATTTACTACAACATAATATACAAAAACCTGTTCTATTTATTATACTAAATGACGTAGAAAGCATTTTTCTTTCAAAATCCTCCACAATTTATTTATATTTGAGGACCCAATAATGAAAGCGATTGCTTTGTTCCTCAGAATATTTGTGTTTTTAAACCCAATTACTTTATAAATTTACACGGAAATAATTCCTACTCTCGTCATAAATCATATTTATTTTTGTAGCAAATTTGCGCTTCGACAAAATATGCAAAAAAGAACATCAGCAAATTATCTAACTTGGAAACAAACCCAAGAAATCCCCGACTCGGAAGAAAAGCTCTCATTCAAACTTGATTCTTTTGATAGTACCTCAGAATTATTCTGACAATTTGCAAGCGACTATTGCCATTTTGTACCCTACGAGAGTAAGGTACCCTTAAGTGCCCGAGCACTTTAAGAATATATAAAAAATCATTGTGACATCACGAATTTTCATCAACAATCGTTCTTCATCCATGTCTCTCTTCCGTTCGTAAGACGTACGGCGGTCGCTTTTGACTTGAAGGTCCGTACAGACTGAGATGCTGCGGAACTGTGAATGATCTGTAACAAAACGCCAACTAGCGACTATAGAATATCCATTTAATTGATTTATTTATCGTACAAAACTGAAAACTCTATGTGCCACTATGGGGGTAATTATGCCCTACACACATTTTCGTGAGCTACAAAATCTTACACTTTTATTATTAGCATTTGAATGATTAATTATGGTTCCATTAAACCATGTTTAACAACATTTGAAAACTAGAAATCTTTGTTCAAGAGAAATAGAAAGCTTATTTTAATCTGCAAAAAAGCTATAGATTAGAGTTCACAGTGTTGCTAGAATAGAATCCACAATACCTGTCTTCCTCTGTGCCGTCCGCGCTGGCAGATGAAGGTGTTTAAATCACAGTTAAATCGTAGTAATATCAAAGTTCAACCACAATGACTTTATACAATTTAATTCACATCCTAATATGTAATGGATTCCAACAGTGACAAATGTTGAAACGCTACTCTGCTACTATATAAACAAGAAAACTGCCTGAACCGAAACATATAAAATTCGTAATTTTAGATATGTTTTTTATTATTAATCGATTAATTGCAATAAAAATATAAATACGAGTTTATTAGCTGTTAGCCATCAAAACCAGCTTATTTTATTTAAGCAAATTCTACGAGAAAGCGAAAAATCTTCTCGCACCCACATGCAATTTAATACAAACGAAAAATATTCGCGCCACAATTTTTTGGTGAGAATAAGCTGAATTTCAACTAAATCCCCTTTTCAGGTTATGAGAAATCCTCTAATCACATTCAAAATGCAAAGAAAGTAAATGGGATGAATAATGCAATTAGCTGGTTTCATGAAAGTATTAATTAACTAAAACGCACGTCTACAACATTTATGTGTACAGAAAATCTTTTAGAATAGTATTATCGATTCACATATGTGAAAGCCAGTTAAAACATTCTTGTCCCATTTCGTTACAAACGTAATTTTGGATGATTTTAATCTAGAAAATTAGCGTTACTTACAAATTTGCTCACCATCGTGCTCGTAAATATTATCCCGTTCCAAATTTTCAACTTCCTGATAATTTGCATCGTAATTAAAAACTAATCATATTTCCAATCCTCCAAACTGCTCCGCTGGATTTACGAGGGCAGGATAGCATATAATATGATCACGTGTATCGGTATTTTCATGTAAATTTTCAATCCTAGAAGAGCCTCAAGACCTAATGGGTTCTGCTCTTTTTCTTCGACTAGAATTTATGAAATCAATCTACTAGAGAACTCTATCATTTTCGATTACAAATATATCTCGTTATCATCTTGCAGGTAAAAATTTTTCAGAAATAGATCATATCCTACTTTCGCATGATTCACTAATTTACTC